ACGATCTCACGTTATTGACTAATGTTTATGGAGTTCGTAAAAGGTGGAAATTCATCATTCTGTTGTGTATTTCAGTAAAAATAACCAAATCAAAAACTCCATTTTCAAGTTGCCGCGAAAACGTTTCTCTTTACAATATGGCGTCTTACTAGTGTGTGACGTCACACGACTGTTATTAAAACGTCAAACGATACAATGCAATGTCACTTTAACCGGAAGTTTACTTGCGTGTGACGTCATTTTATCCCAAGCCTTTTGGGTCACGTGACAATAGATAAGAAAACTATTATCTGTGAACCGGTTTTTATTAGGTAAGCGCGCTCCATCGTAGACCATAATATTGCTTTCCATCAGGCGAATTATGGTCAAGAGCTTACCATTTAACGAATAAAAAAAAAAAAAAAAAAAATCTTTTTCGTTAGTATTTAGTAAAATTATGAATATTTTTATTGTAAAAATAGTAAACTTCTTCTTAGTCGGGCACTCTTGTCAGAGTGGTCGTGGTTGCACTGATGAGGTACATGGTAGGGTGTTCTTTGGGTCGCTATCAATGCCGAGGGTAGCTCTCCTGGCGATGTGCTTCCATTTCTGACGGTTCGAGGCGTCGCGAGTACACTGGACCATGGTAGACTCAGTAGCCTTTGTGATGGCGTCTATCCAGCGGGTTGGTGATCGACCGCGTGCTCTCTTGCCTTCCACCTGGCCTTGAACCACCAGCCTTTCCACCGAATTCTCATTTCTAGAGATGTGACCAAAGAACTTCAGTATTCGTAGTTGCACAGTTGACGAGAGTCTGTCTTTAACACGAAGCTCTTTGAGGATGGATATATTGGTACGAAATGCCGTCCACGGGATCTTTAGGAGGCGTCTCCAGCACCCCTGCCAATAGTAAACACCCCTGCCAATATTCATTCTAAACACAGATGGTAGCAATTGGCACTTTATTTTTACCACTGTCAAATACCCTATTGCACTTGGTCGTTAGTCCGATTACGAATGCGGATTTCGGGTAAACGATGAACGGATGAATAACATAACCTTAAGGCTTATTTCGTGCAGACAGACTTTTAAAACACATATGAAATCATCTTTATTAGAACTTCCGAAAATTGGAATATTCAAAAATTAGTTGCTTGGATGCAGAAGTGTCAGTGATGGTGTTGTGTGCTTTTATTATATTTTCACCGAAACTATTTTCTCTCTCATTATTTTATCTATTTTTTTTTAATGTAAATGTTCCATAATAATAATATATTCCATCAATGTGTAATTAATTATCGTATTTAATTTAATTTTAATTTCGTTTAATGAGACGACCTCCTTGGCCGAGTGGTATGTACGCCGGGTTTCATGGTGTGGCCGACTCGAGAGGTCCTAGGTTCGAATCCCGGTGAGGGCAAATGATTGTGTGATGAATACGAGCATTTGTACTCCAGTCATGGATGTTTAATATGTATTTCTATATAAATATACTTATATATGTATTCTATCCGTTGCCCTAGTATCCCCTAACACAAGCCTTACATGCTTACTTTGGGGCTAGGCTAATTGGTATGAGTGTTGGAAATATTTATTTATTTATTTTATTATTTATAAATATTATTTAATGTAATCGTGAATTCTAATCTGACATTTAAATTCGAGACCTCATCTATATGGGTCAGAACTGAAAATCAGCGATTTACTCTCTGAGTAAATGTTTCGCTGAGTTCTCGCCCATTCACATCGCTGCTGCACACGAAAATATAGTAAAGTTGTATAAATATACAAATTATATTGTCAGTTCTAAAGGTTTTATCTTATATATAAAATTCTCGTATCACAATGTTAGTTACCATACTCCTCCGAAACGACCTGACCGATTTTTATGAAATTTTATATGCATATTCCGTGGGTCTGAGAATCGGCTACTATCTATTTTTCATATCCTTAAGTGATAATGGTTGTCCACCTGTAACGTAGTGTTCTTAAACCTACAATGCGCCTTCGCACCTAAATTCAAACTATTGGGTATTGTAACGTAGTGTTCTCATATGGGGTAGGAGGAATGTTATCCCAGGAAATTGATAAAACACTACGTTACACACCCCAAAATTTATTTATTTTTTATAATGTGCTATTAAAAAATTCATACAACTATAAATTTTCTCTTCTACCACCTGCCCCTATTTTTATGGCGGTACGAAGTTCGCTGGGTCAGCTAGTCTAATTGTAAAATTTGTCTTGTCAATTTTGTATGTTGGTGAGAATAAAGTCTTTTCTATTTATCTAAGGGAGTCCAGTACACCCTTATTTGGTTAGTTTTTGTTTTAGTTACCGGACACCGTCTTCCAGTCCGAATTCCAGTGTAAATATGAGGCCATGAGAACCATAGTGGCCTAACTCATTTTTTTACAATATTGAGTTTATGATTTTTTCCAGTTCAAATTGATCGTTTTGATAGAACCAGAGTGGTCTAAAAGTGATACAACAAATATTCACTAGATGGCGGTATAATCACTGTTACGGTTTTTAGTCTGTGATCTAAGTTTGAGGTGCCATACTGGCCTAAGTAAGATAGGTCACTATTGTTAAAAAATGAGTTAGACCACTATGGTTCTCATGGCCTCATATTGCTTCGGGTGCCAGAATTCGAGTAACGTCTTTCGTGCACCCGAAAACGAGCTAACAACCAAATGTAATAGGCTAGTTTACTCATGTCGAATTGTATTAAATAAATGTTTATTTCTTGAAGTGTTTAGTCTAAGGAACCTTAATATATCGATTTCACTTCATAAAAGCAGAAGATTGCTGTAGAAATTTAATTTTAAAAAATATTTTTTAGTCTATATTTTTTAAACACTAAAAACGCTGTTCGCCACATTCGCCATGATTTTGACGTCTCTTGTGGTAAACAACTAAATGTCAATCGCGTGTTACTGTAGGTGGATTCTTTCGTCTGACTAAATTTATCATAAAACACTTTTAACTTTAGGAAAGAAAAAAACAGTAAACTTAGTTTTTTTTGACTAAACAAATTATGGATGCCGGCTTTGTGAAAGCAGAAAGCACAAATCTGCCAAGAATTGACGCATTGATGGTTGGTGAATTTGTTGCACTAAACCCCAGATTTCTGCTCTGCGGAGCAGAGAAACGACAAGGCGTCTATGTAAGTACAGTGCATTTAGTATTACAATGTAGTAATAAACATAAAACTGATACAACATATGAATAAGTGTAATAAAGTTGCGTAGGTTAATTTCTTTCGGCACTTTAATCCACAACTTTCCTGGAGTCTTCAAGGATGTGTTTTTATATTCTCGTACAATACAGTAATGATAATTACTTTATTTTTCGTGGTATTTATTAGAAATCATGTTTTTTTTTATTATAAACTCAGTTAAAAGTAATTTTCTACGTGTTTACGAGTTTTTGTTTACCACAGTTCACGTCATAGCATAGACAATCTATAGACTAAAATGGCCGACAGCGTTTTTGTATGTCCATGAAAAGTCTATTTTAAATTAAAGATTTGTAGCTTTCTAGGTTTAAAAAAAATACAATACATTTTTTTTCGGTCTAATAGAACATTTATTAACCATTTAAAACCTTTTTCCAAAAAGGGTCAACTAGCCTATTGAGCCAATAAACTGTAGCTTTACCAGGAGTTGCTATAGTAATATTACGTTACGTTGCTACAGACGCTCACGTATTTACGATCATGTCTCGGTGACTCGATAACATCTGTCAATTAATGCGACGCGTGGTGCCAAATTGCTATAGTAATAGTAACGGCCTTAAAACATGAGTTGATATTTGTTACTATCTTTATTTTATTTATTTTATTTCTTCGGAAAACTTACAGCTATTATTTATAAATGGTATCTAATTTAGTTAACTACTAGCCAATAACAAGTTATCACATATAAAAAGATCATTGATTATATACACGCCTAAATACAGTTGAAACCAGGGTATGTTTACCGGTTAATTTTCAAACCTATTCCAAATCAGTATCAAGTGCATTAGGAGCGTTTTAATTAGGTTTGGCTCTACCTTAACCTTAAAAAAACCGGTTTTCCTAAAAAGCGAAATCTAATAGGTTTTGAATCAATTTAGCGGTTTTTAAAGGGTTTCATTTCGCTCTTACTGACCGCATCGCCTTCGCCATTTCAATTCAAATTTATAATGATTTTATGTCAGTTTCTTTCCAACTACAGAGCGAGTGAGTGAAGTAGTGTGTCAGTACACAACTACAAAATGAATAACTTGACTCACTAGACGCTAGCAAACGTGTCAATAAATGCATCAATCTCTGAGCATTAACAAGCTGTGACTTGATTAGTTCAAACAAAGCAAACTTCAAGCGACACCGACGCGTGCACGTGTCGCTCTGGATTAAACCGGTTTATTAAGGTTTTAGGTACCGCTTTCATTTCGGACGCGCTCCGAACGAAACCTTTACTAAAAAACCGGTAATAACCTTTATTTACCGGTATTTTCGAAACCGGTTACAAGCCCTGGTTGAAGCCCTCGTTTTAATACTCGCACTCACTCATTTCATGGGTACGACTGGAGAGCCAATCGGCGCAACGCACGCCCGCCCGCGCACCTCGTTTCCCCCTAAGACATCTTAATTTTTACTTCTGCGCAATAACGGTCAGCGCTAGAGCTTCGTGCTGCGACTTATATGTGTAAAACTCATATTAAGGTGTGATCCCACGATGTTGCGTCGCACAGCGTTGTCAAACGTATGAGAACTCTAACTTTTGAGTTTTAGCAGTCTCTAATACACGATACGAAATAAATAGAAATTTCGTTCACTTTGTGATGGCATAATGAAGCTGTATTTACTTAATCGATCCTTTGTGGACTGGACATTTATATACTTTCTGATAATATTTTTGGTTTGTGTACATGTTACAAACAATCAACATTGTTCAAATCTCATATCAAAGTGTACGAGATTACTATTTACCTCGTATAGTGTATAGAGACTGCTAAAACGTTAGAGTTCTCATATGTTTGGAAACACTGCGCAGCGCGCCCTTGCCCGCGACAACACACATTATAGGACCAATGATATTAAATACCCTAGATACACCACGTGCGTTCAAAATGTGTCCCTATCAAGAAGTGCTTGAACACGACTCAAGCACTAGAAGAAATAAGGACTATATTCTTCCGCATATAGCAATAAGCCGTAAAATTTTACGAGCTTACATTTCGGACTGTAATAACTCTTTGACGCATGCGTTTAAATTAAAACCTTATTTAGAGTGCTTTAAAGGTGATTTTCAATGTTTAAATAATGCATTTTATTGTTTAGACTGCGCAATCATCTTACGGAGCTCCGTGGATCGTCCAATGTACCTTTTGAACAGGTTTCGGGCATGATTTTGTTCGTGTTGGTGTATCTAGGGTATTTAATATCGTTGGATCGCACATTTAGAGCCACTGATCCCGTTGGCATCTTTTTTTATTGCCTTCGGAGGCAGACGAGCGGATGGACCACCTTATGTTTAGTGGTCTCTGTCGCCCATGGACATCAGAAATCCAAGTGACACAGCCATGCTGCTGACTGCCAGTGGAACACTGTATTTACGCCTCTCTTAAAGCGGACCATATTATAATAATGAGGGAATACCGTTTTGGCTACGGAATACTAATATAGATCGTATTATATTGTCCCTACCCACGTACGTACTCGTTTAAGAATGGAGTAACTTTGATTAATACTCTGCACTATATATTAGCTATAGCCTTGCATGTTATACGGAAGAAACTAAATGCGGAAAAAGAAATCTATTTACGATGGCAATACTAATGTCAGGGTTGTCACCTACCAGCACAGTTAGTAAGGCTCATAGCATCTATACATATAATTAAATGGTAGGAATATCAAAACTGTACATTGAATATTTTTTAAAAGAATACTTGGGGTGTGATCTACAATCGATATCGAAGCCAAAAATATAGTTTTTAGAAATTTTGTTTGTTTGTCTGTATCTATGACCGGGATAAACTCAAAAAGTACTGCATAGATTTACTTCAAATTTGGCATGAATATTATTATAAGTCGGGTGTTGACAAAGGCTACATATTATCACGCAACTTTACCCCTAAGGGGGGGGCATTACGGGGGTTGGATGTTTGTATGAAAGTCCTATGTTTTTGAAGTAAGAGACTTGAAATTTAACATGTATGCTCTAAAGATGGTATGAAGTCTACTAATAATGTATCTTTAGAAATAAACCCCCTTTTGGGATCAAAAACTATGTGCATATAACTAACTCCACGCGTACGAAGTCGCGGGCGACCGCTAGTAACAAATAATTTGTTATGTTTCTTATTTGTTATGTCTTTATATATTACTAGCTGACCCAGCGAACTTCGTACCGCCCTAAAAAAATAGGGATTGTCCAGCGGACAAAATTGTGAATCTAAACCATTCTCAGATCCCCTTGAACACACACAAAAAATTTCATCAAAATCGGTCCAGTCGTTTAAGAGAAGTTCAGTGACATACACACTCACAGAAGAATTATATATATAAAGATGTACTTATTTAAAATAGGTAGAATAAGCTTTTAAAGAAGGAGAAGAGTGAGGAGCTCGCGCGCGGATGGTAAGCGCGTTCGGCTGCGACCGTTGAAGTTAAGCAACTTTCGCAGTGGTTCTGTCATTGGATGGGTGACCAAAAATCTTCTATCTCAACTTCCTCCGTGATTCACAAGGCACGTTAAGCCGTTGGTCCCGGCTGCATCTACAGTCGTTAGCACCCGCCTATCTGCACTGGGTCCGCGTGGTGTGTCATGGCCCAATCTCCCTATTCCATCCATAGGGAAGGCCTGTACCCCAGCAGTGGGGACATTAATAGGCTGATGAGCTACGAACTTTAAATCTGTTTTGAAACTTGGCTTGAAAGATTCTATTTAACACCTACTAACATTAAACTATTCGCCTTTCCAGTTATTACGTGGTCGAAATCCCCGATGAGACACGCCAAGAGGCTAAGCCTTTTCAAGTCTACTGGAATGTCCCGACGATGCAGTGCAAATCCAAGAAGATCCCTTTCGAGAACCTGTACGAACGATACGGGATCATACAAAACACGGGTGATTCCTTCAGAGGAGACGAGATAGCTATACTTTACGACCCTGGAGTGTTCCCGGCGCTTCTGAAGAATGAAACGAGCGGGAAGTTCAAGTTTAGGAACGGTGGAGTCCCACAGGAAGGAGATCTGGAGAAGCACTGGAGCGCTTTCAGAAAAGTCCTGGAGCAGAGCATTCCTGATCCGGAGTTCAGTGGTGAGTCAAAAATCAAGAATCATTTATTCAGTCTAGGCTGTTACAAGCACTGTGAAGGTCAAGAAGCTACGCCATCGGATCGCAAAACTACGGCAGGAGACCTTGTACTGAGAAGAACCGGCAAGAAACTTAGCAAGGGCTGTTTATTTACGAGTTGAATCCATAGACGTAGACCGCCTTCTTATTCCATAACGCAGACTAAATTTAATCTAAACTTAAACCTTATTGACTCAGCCTTCTTTTTAGCAAACAAAATTGATAGCATCTGTTTTAGACAAGGTTTAACTTTAGTCTAAGTTTTGTAATAAGACGGAGAGGTTATAAATAATCCATATTCGTCCATACTAATCCATATATATTCTACTATACTATTATTAATGCGAAAGTGTGACTGTCTGTCAGTATCCATAGTAATATTTTATCATATTTCTTTGTCATGCATTTCAAGTGTTTATCTTCACCGCTATCTATGAGTGCATGGACAATATTCCATATGGAAAATCTGGCAAAAAACACAATTTAGAATTTAATAAGTCCTAAAATATCATTTGTTTGCTGATTATGACTGCAAAGTCGTATGGTTAGTCATTAAGATATAGTGTTTCCCGTACGTTTTCTGAAGAAATCTCTGCTAGAAAGGAAAACAAAATGGACGTCATCAATGCAGAACTTGCAATAACCGATCATCGGATGAGTAACCATAAATTTTTAATCTCGAGCTCCTCCGTGCTTCGGAGGGCACGTTAAGCCGTAAGTCCCGGCTGCATCTGGAGTCGTTGGCACTCACCAATCACTGGGCCGGGGTGATGGGTCATGGCCTAATCTCCTGATTCCATCCCTAAAGAAGGCGTCGTCGCCTGACCATCAAGCGGGCCATACGCTTGTTAGTTTAACATTAAGAACCCTCTCACTTTTTTTTGCACAAAATTGCAATTTTTGAGCGCCTTATTTACCCCCTTAGAAAAAATTTTGACTATTTCCAATAAAAATAAACAGTAGATTTATTCTTTCTATTGTAAGTTAATGTAGAATATTTGCAAATACTGTTTTCCTTTTTTTGTACTGATCGTTCTACCGCAGCTAGTTTACGGAAAAAAACAATAATATGCACAACTTCAAACGCCTAATTCTCTAAATAACGTTTAATAAATTAGATCAAATAAATTACTACAACATCAGAAATATATTTTTGTTGTAACATAATCTATTAGAAATTTGATTTTGCATCTCATTAATTATCAAAAAAACATCTAACCTCGGTGAGTTTTCCCAAAAAACAATGCAGGTTTACCTCGTATTTTGATATTGAATTAAATAGAATTACTATCAAAAACTTCCATAAAATTAATTTAATTATTGAGCTACTGAAATATGTTTAATTTTTTATAATTAGTTTATTAATAATTAATTATTTTATAAGACTCGAAACATCACCCGTAAAATGCAATATACCTATACTAGTGCAAATCTAACTACGCGCCGATCACGACAGCGGCGCAATTTTGTAAAAGGGCTCTTATCAAAGAACATAAACTGTGATATTTCTTCGTAAATATACTAATAAGGTATCGGTTCTAATTTTATTGTAATTTATTCGTTGTTAACGACAACAGGCGGCCGCGAGGCCGGCTACGTCAACATACATCGTTTAGTAGAATTGAAACCCACATGATCTTGAAAAGATTCCATTGCTCCGACCTTGCGCACTAGCAATACAACCGATCTAATTGTTCGAGTCGATGGTGCGATAATAGCAGTCAAGTCCTATTGTGAACTACTGGCAAGAATGGATCAAAATAGTTGTACCTAAATCATTTCTTTATAGTATTATTTTGTAACAGAATGTTTTATGTCGAAGATGACGATTATTATAGAACTAGCTGTGCCCCGCGTTATTACCCGCGGTTTATTAGGGATATTTTCTCGCGGTAAAACGTAGCCTATTTGTTAATCCAGGGTGTCAACTAACTCCATACCAAATTTTATTAAAATCGCTCCAGCCGTTTAGACGTGAAGAAGTAACAAACATACACACTCACACACTCACACACTCACATACTTTCGCCTTTATAATATAAGTGTGATTAAGTCTTTTGTCAAACAACAAAAAACTGGCAAAGATAAAGCCCGTCAAAGTTTGGGAGTGCGGGCTCGTGACGTCACTTCTAAGTAAACATCGTACCAATACGTGACGTCATGCGAAATTTCAATTCAATGTAATCTCTGTAATGTTCTGATTGTGTGAATAAAGAAAAATACGCGTCTAATACTTTTTGGTCTTCTACCTGATAGACTAACGAAGAAAAAAAACCGGTCAAGTGCGTGTCGTGCCACGCGCAGTGTAGGGTTCCGTAGTTGCCTGTAGTTACTACAATATATTTGAACAGGAGTCTTTATTTTCTATATCGGAAATTAGAAAAACCAATTAATATCAATTTTATGTATCTCAACCAAAATACACAAATTCAAACTACGTCCTGAACTCAAAATCAATATTTTTAAAATACGATACGATAAACGATATTATAACCGCCGATTTTTTGTTGTTTCCTTCCACGCGGGGGAGCGGCTGTGAAATCCTAATGGATACCCTACAGCCGGCTGCAAGGTTATATGTCTGACATATGAAAGTTATGTATCTTACTGACTAAATTCTGTTCATCTGAACCGCCGATTTAAACTTTAGGCTAAAATAAATATTTTTCAAATTTTTTAAAAATTATTAAATTTTTATTCTTTCATTTTTTCGGCGTTATTGATATGCATATCTCCACAAAACTACAGCTCTCTGTGCTAACAGACTCTAAGTAAAAGCGGGGACAGACGGACAGACGGGCATGACGAGCCCTAAAAAGGTATAATGGATTTCAAGATCAATTAACTTTATCTTTCAATTTGGACGCAAATCCAAGATTGATATGTGTGTACATTATATACCTACATGAATGTACATATACATATTTCATTTACTAGCTATAAGAGAAAGAGAGAAAGAAAATGTTTCGCACTGCTTTCTCTTGCTTATATCCCCCACTCAACTCCCGTTCGCCTCGCCCGAACACACTTTCCGTAACGCGTAACGCATTCGCCAGCTTACTCCCCCAAGTCAAGCGTGCTTAAAGAAGTTTCACTTCAATTAAATAACAAACTTATTCCCACGAATTTAAAACACCTCTACGCAGTGCCATTTGATATTATTGATTCGCAAAGGTTTGTTATTGTATGGTGTTAGTAAATTATTAATTGCAAGTCTGCAGTTGGGAAGATGCCGTCTGCACACCGTTGTTTGTGTCCGTTCGACCTTGCAATAGTGTTTACGTTTCACAATGTAACAAAAGACAGTTGTTTAGTCGAAGCCAAAACAAAACAGACGAGAGATGATTCTTGCCGATGTGTTTTTGTTCCAGGGCCGGATTTAGAAGTCCAGAGGCCTCGGGGCAACAGAGGAGCGGAGGCCCCCTCACCCCAAATTATTTTCCAAATAAAGTAAACAATTTTTTTTCAGTCGAGTTTTTCAATAAAATTAGACCCGGCACTTTTCATAGAAAAAATGCTAAACTTGTATACAGTTGAATTTGGTCTCAAAATAAAGCCAAAATTATTTGCTACATAAAACTACTTTTGCCTTATTTTTAGTAAATCGTGGAAAGAAGTTATTTAATGATTAATATTTTTTGATATAGAAACCCTTTTGATGACAAACCTACGTATTTGGCATTGACAGCTAGCTGCTGATGACAAATATTGCCTGACTACGTTACCCAATTATGAAACACAGATAAAAAAAATAAAAAAGTATACAACTTTGGCACAAAATGCCGGGTGTCCTTTATTGTGAACCAAGTAGATTCCTTTATTATTGAACAAACACATATAAATATAAACGGAAACAAGAATTATCTGAAATTAAATCTTAGAGTTAACGAACGGAACCTTTCGAGCTTTTTTCGCTGAAAAAACCTTGATGATTTCGTTGAAATCGAGTGCTCGGAGTAAATCGCTTTCAATGCTCAGGAGAGGAAGCTTCGATAGACGGTTTTGTCCCATAGTGGTTCGAAGCCTATTTTTTATAACATAAAAAGATGTTTACTAGGGTTTACTAGTTGGAATTTGAAAGATTTTTTTTTTAAAGTCTCTATTGTGGGGGCCCCCCGTTTGTGGAGGCCTCGGGGCTTTCGCCCAGGTTGCCCTCCCCTAAATCCGGCAGTGGTTTTTGTTCGAATACTAAATTGATTGTATTAATATTTCGGGTTGCAATGATTGTTATTTGAACATCAAGATGAATAACAATTTGTTTTCCAACAGAAACATTTGTGCAAATAATTTGCAGATGTGTTTTTGTTCGGAATCTAAATTGATTGTGTTATTATTTGGTGTTGCCGATGCGTATGATTGTTGTTTTAAGAGCAACATGCATTTGTTTATCGGAGAATTTAACGAAGCTGAGTTCCTATGGCAAGATTTGAAAGATACACTCATTGCACTGCGAAAATGCGTAGCTCTTTGCAGCATCGCAATATATTTCGTGGGAAAACGCAAACATTTGTTTTGTTATAAAATGTAAATTCTGCTTTTTTCGTCGAAAACAAATAAATCTAAGGCTAGTGTTAGATTCGTACATGAAAAGTCTGTACCATTTTGCAAACAAAGCTGTTTGCAATTTTTAGATTGTGTGTGATGTGACTGTTAGATTTTGATTTTGACGACCTCCGTGGCCGAGTGGTTTGTACGCCGGGTTTCACGGTGTCTCCGACTCGAGAGGTCCTGGGTTCGAATCCCGGTGGGGGCAGATGTTTGTGTGATGAATACGAGCATTTGTACTCCAGTCATGGATGTTTAATACGTATTTCTATATAAATATACTATATATGTACAGTATATGTATTCTATCCGTTACCCTAGTATCCCATAACACAAGCCTTACAATGCTTTCTTTGGGGCTAGGCTAATTAGTGTGAGTGTTGGAAATATTTATTATTATTATTAACGTATGATTATATTTGTTTCTTAGGTTTTCAGACAAGATACTATTAGTTATTTTTGTTTGCATGATTTAACATAAGAAGGAGATAGAAAGCCTCTCTCAGTCTCAGTTTCTTTCGCCAGTTCTTCTCAGAAAGGTCACCCAATTTTGGAACTGGTGATAGTTAGGATCAAATAAATAAACTCAAAATAAAAAAAAATTTAAAAAAGTACTTTATTTATTTAATTAACTAATAATAACATTAATTTTTTAATTCATACATAGACAATAAAGTTTAAAAATCTTCCAATGAAATAACCGAACGCTCAATAAAAGTCTTTGGAAGGTAGCTCGACAAAATAAATCTATATACATATATAAAACTCAAAGGTGACTGACTGACATAGTGATCTATCAACGCACAGCCCAAACCAGTGGACGGATCGGACTGAATTTGGCATGCAGGTAGATGTTATGACGTAGGCATCCGCTAAGAAAGGATTTTGATCAATTCTACCCCGAAGCGAAGCGAGGGCGGGCCGCTAGTAAAATCATAATTCAGACGAGGCATCCTGAAAAGGATGCAAAACGCCACTGAATAAATAAATCAGTGCATCTATACCGAGGAGCTCGATGGCGCAAGTGGTTAGCGTGTTCGGCTGCGATCGTTGAAGTCAAGCAACTTTCCCAGTGGTCGGTCATTGGATGGGTGACCAAAAATTTACTATCTCGAGCTCCTCCGTGCTTCGGAAGGCACGTTAAGCCGTTGGTCCCGGCTGCATGTGCAGTCGTTAGCACCCGCCAATCCGCACTGGGCCCGCGTGGTGGGTCATGGCCCAATCTCCCTATTCCATCCATAGTGAAGGCCTGTGCCCCAGCAGTGGGGACATTAATAGGCTGATGATGACGATGTTACGTGAAGCCTCCAGTAGGTCCTATTCAAAAGACTAGTGATTTGGACACGACCAAAAGCCATGATCGTTTGGTGAATTATTTTTTGGCTGTCTTAGACGTTTGGCCTTACATAGAAAGCTCAGGTATGGTGCCAAGGACTCAGGTTATTATAATCTGCCGCGCTCTAGTAAATCTTCCGCTATTCTACTTCCTGTGCCCCAGCAGTGGGGACATTATAAGGCTGATGATGATGATGATGATCTATACCGTTGAAACTTGTTTAATTTAACGTAAGATTATTTATTTTTTTTTAGGTAGGCAAATGACTCTACCCCACCTGATGTTAAGTGGTAATAAAGTCCAAACGCGAAGATAGCTGGTACAGCAGTTATAAACTACTACACCAATCATCCTCACCTTGCCGGCCTGCAAAAATGCTTCTTCACGTCTCTCTTAAAGGACCCCAGATTATAGGAAGGAGATATATATATATATATATATTATTCACAGGTATCGGCATCATTGACTTCGAGTCCTGGCGGCCGATATTCCGCCAGAACTTCGGAGTCCTCGCACCATACAAAGACTTCTCCTACCAGATAGAGAGGAAACTGCACTGGTTCTGGCCCGAGAAGGCGATACAAGCTAAGGTATGATATACAGGACCTTTCTCAGACATAGAGTAAGACTTAAGGTTCTAGCAGCCCCGACAGACGTTGTGCTGCCCAATAAAAGTATTAAAAAAAACGAGTGTGCTTATGACCACGCCAGTGAAGTGAAATTTCTTTATCCCATCTCTATGTATATATATATATATATATATGTATATCTAATATATAAAATTCTCGTGTCGCGGTGTTTGTTGGTAAACTCCTCCGAAACGGCTCAACCGATTTTCGTGAAATTTTATATGCATATTCAGTAGGTCTGAGAATCGGATGTAATCTATTTTTCATCCCCCTAAATGTTAAGGGTAATCCACCCCTAAAGTTTTTTTTCAATTTTAGATAATTTTTTTTTTATTTTTTTATGATACATCATACACAAATACATACAACCCTAAATTTTCACCCTTCTACCGCTAACCCCTATTTTTTTATGGCGGTACGAAGTTCGCTGGGACAGCTAGTATATATATATATATATCTCTTATTCCTCGCTGCTTAGGAAGGCACGTAAAGCCGTTGATCCAGGCTGCTTCTGCAGTCGTTGGCACCTACCAATCCTCACTGGGCCCGCGTGGTGGGTCACGGCCCAGTCTCCATATTCCATCCATAGGGAAGGCCTGTGTCCCAGCAGTACGAATTTAATATAAAATGGTCGAAGATAGAGATGTAACGACTCCACTTTTCAAACCGGTTTGAGCATGGACCGAGTTGAATCGGTTAACGTCTTCGTAAACCGGTTCTACCGTGGCATTCGTTCGTATCGCGCTGCGCGCATGCGCGCCTGTCAATTCTTGTTTATGCCGCCATCCACAAATCGCGTGCGGCTCTTGACGTGCTTTACCGACCCTAATAAAACTTGACCGACCAATACGAACCGACTTACAGCAGCGGATACGGTTAGCGCGCATCGTCAATTTAAATACAACAGCGATAACCGACTTACCGACCGAACCGAAATGAAACGGACTCTGGTAGATTTGACTGACCTGACGGTGTAATTTTGTTTTCATTATTATGTAATATGCGACGTAATTGCCCAGCTTCTAAAAAAATAGACCAAATATTATTCCTAAATAGTTGTAAGAAAACTTTTTAATTAAGTTGTTTGTACCAAATTAAGTTTCTACGACTCAAATAATTTTACAAAAATAAGTTACGTATTTATTATATTGTTGATTATTAAAATTGTATTTTATTCTCAAAGTTAAGAAGTACGGTTTTATATAATTAATAGAGTTTATATATTTTTTTGTATTTTTTTAAACACGGTATTACTATATATAGATATTAGTTTATTTTTATTTTGACATTTTTAATTCTGATTATTATTATTTGTTTTCATATTTTAATTGTTATTTTTCAATTACCTTTAAATATTTGCACGATGTAATATAAACACAATATGTAGAATTAAAAAAAATAGCACCTGTTGTTTCGTAAGTTCAAGACCGTAACATCACTAGTCGAAGAGACCAATTCTTGCTTTCAGTCATCTAATGAAGGTAATTATTAATAGAATCAATATTTTTTATGAATATATACCTATATATATATATATATATATATATATATAGTGTATAAGCCGTTGCATCCTGAACCCGGCTGCATCTGCAGTCGTTAGCACCCGCCAATCCGCACTGGGCCCGCGTGGTGGGTCTTGGCCCATCTCCCTATTCCATCCATAAAGAAGGCCAGTGACTAATACGCTGATGATGATGATGAAATAAATAATTGATTGAATCGAAAACACGCGTACAGTGGTTCCATATTCCTTTTGACGATTTTGCAACCAAAATTTCCTTTAAAAGAAATCAATTTTAAAACCCAGAACAAGTTGAAACCCTTTACGCAACTGGCTTGACGAGTGGTCAATACTACATGCTCCAGTCCCTTCGTTTCGATGAGCCAACGCGCCCCAGTTAACGTAGATAACGCAGGATACCGCTAAATTATCTCGTTTTCATTGTGGAATCTTTTTGTTTACGACATTTTGAATTAGGGTTAGTTAAATAACCATCATATCCTTCTCTATTGAAACATAATCTTCTATATTCATAAAATTAGTGTGCACGGACCATACATATGATGTGAAACTTCTATTTTTGAAATAACCTTTTTGGAGTTTACTGCTTAAGAATCGATTTGCATATATAAGGGGAACGGTATGAGAAAAATGTGAGGAGTAAAATCTATCGATGAATGACATTAATGACTTCGTTACTTTTTTGTGCGCAACCTCATCTGCGCACCTTTCACTTTTAGCCATGGCAACGGATAAAAAACATTGAGTTGTCACAAATGTCAATAAAATAAATAAACTAAAAATAGATAAAATCGGAGCAAAATTAATGAAAACAAATAAATAATATAGAGAAATGTCGGTAAATGTCCAGCACTCTGGAATAGTGATTTTCAGTACAGATGGAATTATAATACATATTTACAAAATGATGACTAGTGTGTGATATTTTTGAAATTGTGTGTTTCCAGAAATACATAATAAAATATATGATGAATATCGCTGATGTTAGATGATAAAATGTGTGACATGGAACCTATGATAGTCGAAACCATGGGACGATTCCTGAGGTATCTCTACTTGTAACCGATTTCTTCGGACTTGATTTTGTTTTGTGTCTGTTCAAAGACAATCGTTTTTAGAGTGTAAACTACGGTCGTGCGTCGGAGCTGACACACATAATTTTTTTTCTTCATATACGCATCCTTCAACCACTGGGGGAGCGAGAAGAAGGTATATGGGACTCCACCCTGTCTTCTTCAGGCATCCCTAGTGCTTGCTGAAGCGGACAGGGCCTTACCTCACTAAAATGCAGACAGTACCTACTCCTGCACCGTCACCCGACACGCACTATATCCTCATAGTCCCCCTAGTGCACGCCGAGAGGGCGGGTGTGGTCGCAGTACCCGTCTACGAATGGCCGCGCACCCGCCAGGTGTTTATTCGCAGACGGACCCACCCCGATGAGGATGCCCCGGAGCATCAGGGGCATCAGCATCCCGAGAGCTTGTGCCATGCGAGCCTATCCCCCCAGGACAGACTCGCGGCTCTCGCAGGAGTGAGAGGGAGAGCGTAGTTCCCTCCGTCCCTCTCCTACCCCCCCTTGGCCCTAAGAAGGGCCTTTTAAGCATCTACCTCCAATGGCAGTGATAAAGATCACTGTGGGGTCCTAGAAAACGGACCGTTTCCCCAATCTGAGCCCTGAAGGGGCTCAGGCTGCCCTGGCCATTCTTTGTGTTAGGGTGGCAAGAAATGTGACCGCCGTTTCCTCTTAATTATTAACCACTTAGTGGTTAATAATCCACCATTATTAGACATCTGTTCGAAAGGTACTTTGAACGATCCACGGAGCTCCATAAGATGATCGCGTTGTCAAAAACAATGTTGGCACGCTCGTCGCCTCTGATCACTGTTTTCATATTTATAATATTTATCCACATGTTTCTAGTTTCTATATAGACACAACGTGTTTTAGTTACTTACAAGTGCTAATTACATATGGACTAATAACTTAAATTCAGTAGTGATATTAATTGAATATTTTGAATATTTATTTAATTTTTCAAATTAAAACTGAACTTAATTGACTGTGTTAACTATCCTTTTCCAGTCCTTTTATTATTTTATTGTAATTATTAATTATTTGCATGCAATTAAAAAATATTTTTAATGATGCTAAAGAAGTATAACTTCTCACGCGCGTACATAAGTTACACGCATCCATTTTTTATTTTACTAGTGATGTAAAATAAAAAAAAGACTTGTATTGTTATGAAGATTAAGTTAAGGTTAAGTATTTTATTAGTAAAACACTAAAGATATCGCCTTCTCTACTTTATTTATCATCAACCTACATTCATTTCATATCAAATCAGTGAAATCTAAACCGTGTCATCGATACACGCAGCTCGTTCAAACATGTTTATTTATTTATTTATATTCTAGCAATCCAACAAGCCTTCAACAATGATAAGTATGTCTAATAAAATTCTACCAACAAAACAGTATGCCATTATGAATTCGGACATAATTATAGACATCATATAAAAAAAAATGGTAACCTTAATTTAATAATAATAATAAGAGGTAATAAGCTAAGAAAGTAGAAATAAGATCCAAAAAATAACTTGTCTGGCCATAAATACTGTTAGATTATAGACATCTAATTGGAACATTCAACAACAATTATGTTTAACAAAAAATGTGCCTTAAAAAATCGTTCTAAAAAAAAATTATGCCAAATGAATTTCGGAGCAAAAGATTCTGCCAGATAAAGGGAACCCTATGAACACACGAACGAAAACATTAATTAATCGTGTTAAGAACCATCTCATCATGATGCCCATCTCATACATGTGTTAATTACATTGCACGCAGTTAAATATGAACGCATGATCTATTTTCATTACCTACTGCCACAGTCAGTCTCTTGATTGGCAACAAAGTTACAAATTACACTGCAATATCGACTTTATCCCAAAGGATTACAGTCTGTTTATGTTACTTATCTATAGTGTCTTAACGTCCGTCACAAATAATTTGGAACCCAGGATGCGCCATTTAGTGTTGAAAATGTTGTTAAGTATTTTTCTACCCTAGATTATCTAATCTAGACGCCCCGCCTCCGCAGTCAGTCACCCTTTCGCCCCGCGCTTTTGTTTCGTAATGTACCACGCGCGTTATGAATGAGAGTTCAGGAATGATCATAGGTTCTTACCGACTCGAATGGGGTCTCAGGTATTATAAGAATTCTCCAAAGGACGACACTGAAACACGCTACAGTACAACATAAATTTTACACCAACTATTCACTGCATTAGGTTAGGCATAGGTAGTTACTTAACGTAAAAAAATGTAATCTTTTTTACCACACACACAAAGTCGTCTGGGTCCTGTTGAACTGATACGGATCTTGACCATCACTTGGCATGACCGCCACATAAACAAATTATTGACACTAAAAATATTTCAAACGATCCAAAAACCTAGTCTCCGACTCGTGGAATGTCGAAGCTCCCTGTGCTCAAATTTGCGTCTGAGAAGATAAGGAGGGTGGTGGATCTATTCCCGGGCATGCCCTATACCAAGCTTTCCTGGCCTCTGCTAGGTGAGCCAGTGCCACTACGCCTAAAGAAGTAATTTACAATAATATTATTTCCCACGTTCCAGGCTCGGCAGCGTTTTGAAGAAGCTGCGCGTTCCTTCATGCTGAGCACCCTCGTCATAGCGCGTGAGATGCGACCGCGCGCCGCGTGGGGGTACTACGCCTTCCCCTACTGCTTCAACACACCCTCCACGGCCAGTGGAAGCTGCTCTAGTACCGTAAAGGAGGAGAACGACAAGTGAGTAGCATCAGCGATCTCATTTTCATGCCATGTCCAACTTTCGAAGGTAGTAGGGCTGCTCGACCACCATGCAGCAAGAAATATTTCTGCCATTTTCAGCTTTCTATTGCGATATATCATCATCATCATCAACAGCCTATCCTGGTCCACTGCTGGATATAGGCCTCTCCAAATGCACGCCACTCAGATCGATCTTGAGCTACTCGCATCCAGCTCCTGCCAGCCACCTTGCGCAAATCGTAACTCCATCGCGCCTGAGGACGTCCTACACTACGTTTGCCTAGACGCGGTCTGCACTCCAGAGCTCGTCTACCCCAACGGTTATCGGTTCTTCGACAAATATGGCCAGCCCACTGCCACTTCAACTTGCTAATCCGGTGGGCTATGGTTCTCTGTCGGATTACCTTAGTTCTGATGCGATCCTTCAGAGAAACGCCGAGCATAGCCCTTTCCATAGCGCGCTGAGCGACTTTGAACCTGTGAACCAGCCGTACCGTCAGTGTCCACGTCTCGGCGATATATTGCGATATATGCCTGATCCAGAATAACAAGTTTACGCTTAAAAATAGAATATTTACAATTCTTACCGTTATTAACCGTTTTCTGCAATCGCATTTGCTACAAGTGGCATCCGCATCAATCTACGTACGTAACCATACAAACCCTCCATGACGAGTAATCTAGGGTGTTTTATCATCATCACTGGAATGGATCGATTGATTCCCAGGGATCTTACACTCTCGGCACGCATTCTAGGAACTTGGGTCTTCAGAGTAGCCGGCGTGGCGTGTGACCAGAACGTACAACTGACCGGGGGTTATGACAATATTTTTTGATGTGTAACATCTTTCCTCTAGTTTTCCTGCAGTTTGTGGGAGTGATTTCATGAAATGGGACGGAAGTGTGTAACAGGAAGTCGCGAAAGCGCGCGCTATTTGATTTGATTTTGAAAATAATGTTCAAATGGCTTATTCCTTTTGTAGTAGGTTTTATTTCATTTTTTACTAATATAAGGTGAGGTTTCAAATGTTACACATCATACGCGACTACTGTAAGGCTCGCTCTTTTTTTCCACACATACTTATATGTGTTATGTATTTATACACAAAATAAACACAAAAGTACAGTAGCTCATAAAGACTTGCTTTAAATACCAAAATATTCAGTTCATTCTGTAATATTGAACAAATCGACTCATGACCCATTTGCCCGATAATTCGCGTAGAAACGTCGAAACAGACAAGTTTTTTTAAGGGGATGCGTTGGCACTAAGGACCTTTAAATAACCAGGAAAACGCTTTAAAATGGATCAAAGATCCCTGAAATTGTATCTATGTTTTCAATGGAATAGAATGTCTAGGAATAGAAAACAATACTTAAGTAGTCTTTAAAAATTCTAGTTGAATATCACAAACTCTAATAGACTCCAATTTACGTAGTATCTGGATAGATACAGTACTAAAGGCTTTTTGGCTAGATCTACAAATACACCAATACGTTTACTCTTAGAATCAACACACTCTACAATTTGGCTTACCAAAGTTTTAATGACATCTGCTATTGATTTTTTATTTCTAAACCTAAATTGATTGTTCGAAATTATCTCAAGGTCTTTATCATTAGAAGCTATTTTAAGTTTTTATCCAATACGTCCCTTAATATCATACCACGGAGTAATCCTAAGAGGTGTGTATATGTGGGGACTCCTACTTAGTGAGGGATATATTTATATATGTAAAGAATAAACGATACTTTTTCTTCTGTTTCCAGGCTAGGATGGTTATGGCGTGAAAGCACAGCATTATACCCATCAACCTACCTCTCACGCGGAGTAAGCGCGGTCACAGCTGCCAGTTTAGTTCAAGCGCGGGTACTGGAGGCATCACGTTTGAAGCGACAAGCGCCAATAATGCCGTACTTCTGGTACCGGTACAGAGAAGGCGGGTTTCTCACAAAGGTATGTTATGATCATCAACCTATGAAAGCCCTCACTCCTTGGTCACAGACCTTCCCAAGACTGGAATAGGGAGATTGAGCCCCGACCCACCACGCAGGCCTAGTGCGGATTGATGGGTGCTAACGACTACAGATGCAGCCGGAGAAAGCTCAACGTGCTTTTCGAAGCCCTAAGTACCGGCTATTACGAAAGTTGCTTAAGTTCTTTGGTAGACCGATCTTGCTAACTACTGAGCCATCGAACTCCTTTGCTTCTATTGTGCTAAGTTTTTAACGTAAAATGTTTTTTAGTTCAGTGGTAAAGGGTAACAGATTGAGTCAGAACACAAGTCGGTACACCCTAGTCTATAATTATATTTCGAACAACATCACGAACATTTATCTATTAGATAACAAAAATAAAGAAGCTACCATAAAAGCAATTATGCATAGGTATTCATTGATCAGGCACATTATTGAACTCGTAAACTAAAAGGCAACAACTTCATAAACCAATGCACAAACAACACTACCAAAAAAGCGTACGGCATTATACCCGAAATATATTTATAAAAAGAAATTACTCCTAAAATATAATGCTGATTCCTGTAATTTTTTTTGTTACTTTTCAGGATGTACTTGACGCCGTCATTAAAACTTTCTACAACTCAAACGCATCAGGCTTCATAATATGGGGCAGCTCCAATGATGTCAACACGGCTGAAAAATGTAAAAATCTTCTCAATTACACCGAAGAAGTTCTGGGACCTGCCATCGCTAAGTATACTAAACTACGAGAAGTAATAAGCACCAACAAAGTAAGACCTCTAACGGAACCTCCAAACACTGACGTAACATCAAGTGAAAAATATCAAACAGCTAATAACAATAAAACGAATGGCTTAGATTATTCCACGCACAACATACATCATTCATGGTTCGCAATGGAAAATAACACGCAACAAATAATTAATAACGAGCAAAACTTTAACAAAACAAATAACATTACTAATGGAAATGGTAACCTCATGCACATAAAAAGAAATACTCTGATAGAATTGTTATTTAATATATTGCTTCAGAAAGACTCTATGAAGGATGATGAGAGTGAAGAGGAAATTGAAAATGATGGTGTAACCGATGAGATAATAGAAAATCTAATTTTAAACCATAGTTCTCCTAGCTTGTCTACTACTGAATCTAGTGTACTCAGCGCTAATGACACATCTGGGATAACTTTGTCAATAACCAGTGTAACTACAATAAATCCATTAAATACGACAACAGATATTGTTGACAAGACCTATCCATTAACTGAAACGCAAAACACAACTTCTTCTGTAGGAAATCAAGTAAATACTACAACATCAATTAAAAATTATACAAATGAAAATAGTTTTTCAGACATTAGTAGCTCTACAAATCAGTTTACTAACAGAAAATATCAAGTACCTGACACAGATAAATCAGTTAATTATGAATATAATACCTTCGAAACAATGAGTGAAAAAATTAGTACTAGTATCATAAATTCTACAGAAGAGTCTGTGACGGTTAAAGTCAATGAAGTTGTTAAACCAGTTCATTATGAAGATACTACCTTCAGTACAGTAAGTGAAAAAAATAGTACTACTGTCATAAATATTACAGAAGAGTCTGTGACGGATAAAGTCAAGGAAGTTGTTAAACCAGTCAATTATGAAGATAATACCTTCGATACAGTAAGTGAGAAAATAAGTACTAGTGCCATAAATACTACGGAAAAGTCTGTGACCGATGAAGTCAAAGAAGTTTTTTCTGAAACAAATTTAACAAATGAGGATAAATACGACGAAAATAGTTTTACAAACATAACGACAATCCCACCTACTACATTGGAAAATCAAGTATCTGCCACAATTAAATCAGATCAAAATAATATCTCAGAAATAGTAAATGAGAATAAAGAAACTATTATCATAAATAACACAGAAAAATCTGGAACTGATACAGTCACAGAGTTTGTTTCTGAGACAAATTTAACAAACCAAGATAAATATGCTATCAATAAGAATATTAGTAATACTATTGAAAACACTGTTAAACCAGAATATTTCTTAGATATCAGTAATATAACTAACCTTATGACTATTTTTACTACAAATGAAACAAATACTGCAATGAACAGTTATCCACCTTCACAATCCGACTCTTCGACCACGTCTAATTTATTATATATTCTTAGTACTACTTATAAACCAGTCACTTCAATTGAAACAAGTGATATCATAACACAGACAAAAGTAGAAAAGAAAGGTTACCACTGGGATTATAACAATTATTTTACTTCATCAAAATACGATTTAATAATAACAACCGATAATGACAAAATAACAACAGAAGACACATCAGTTGAGTCAACGTCAACAGTAAATTTAAAAGATGATAATATAACAAATAATGATTTCACAACTGAAAATTCTTCATCGAGTCCAAAAGTAGACTTTGTAACTGAGCCCGTTTTCAGAGTAGATGAAAAGTCAGATAGCAATCGAGATATTGATTATGAAGGAGAGGATTTAATAAATAACGAACAATCGTCTCTTATAGAATATATAGAAACTAAGAATAGTAACAATATTATAATGCCCAAAAATGCAAAGAAGAGCTTCCACGAAGATGTTAATTTTAGTGACGGAACGACAGAACAAATAAACGACAGTTTCAATGAAAGCGGAAATTTTCTTGAAGAAAACGATGAAAATGAACTAAATAGCTTTTCTGGAGAAACGACGACTGATTCCGTAAGACTACTGGCTTTTTAGAAAATGCCTTGCTGCGCACTCAAGCATGCTTTTTCACATTACAAATAAAACCGAAAGAGTGGGCTGGTTTTTTGTTTGTCAACATCACTTTTATGTTTTGAATTATTTCAACGTTTATGCATTTGTTACGAGTACAAGACTCGTCTACGTCACTCATACGTCACGCGTACATTATGTGTTTCCCAAGTGCAGGTGGCTCGATTGAGCAATCGTGTTGAAAAGTGCTTATTAGACAGATTTAGTTAATGTAAAACCTTCGGACAGTTTTGGGAGTTGCTTGAGCTTCAATCGTGGAAGCATCTTGACGTATAGTTTGTAAGACCGGATCATCGGGATCAATTAGTATAAGTAATTTTGTAAAACATTTAAATAAATAAAGTTATAATTTAAAGTTTAGTTTTTAAAAACCCTACCTGACGGCTCAATTCCGTAATTGGCGCAGTCGGTAGGATAGTCGAGTCAGTGCGAGCATCATACTTCGATCAGCCTGATAGTCGTGTCGTCGGCGTGTCGACTATCTCTACGAATCTACGCGAAGCAGTCGTCAGACGGGAAAGAAGAATCAACTTCGAAAACCGGCGCTAATCCAAAAATCGATGGCCCATCACCACACTAAGCTAAGCATCCTGCTCCTGTGAGTTTTATTATATAAGTTACGTATTCCTATTGGTTGCCAGCGGCCCCTTTCCTGTCTCCCGTAGGACGTAATAAGTTAATTAAATAAGTTTGTTTTAATAGTTAGAAAGATTTCTAGATATTCCTATTGGTTGACAGCGGCCCCTTTCCTGTCTCCCGTAGGACATAATAAGTAAATTAAATAATTTTGTTTTAATAGTTAGAAAGATTGCTAGATATTCCTATTGGCTGACAGCGGCCCCTTTCCTGTCTCCCGTGGGACGTATAAAGTAAATTTATTAAGTTTTCTTTTAATAGTTTAGAAAGTTTTCAAGATTTTTTTTTTCAAAGAAAAGTAGAGATATAGGACCGAATCTGCGGCGCAGTATTCGTCCTAATTCTAGAGAATTAAGGTTTCATCGCGAAATCGAATTATCTACATTAGAAAGCATAGAAGAAGAAATGGCGATCGAACAACAATCTGTAGCTTATTCAAACGATATGACAGAAATGATTTGGAAATCTTTAAGGCTAGTTCCTGAGTTTGATGGAAATTCGAACATTTTAATTAGATTTTTGAACATATGCGACCAACTGATTTTAACATATGTTAATCCAGCTCCGGGAAATGAACTAAATAATTACGCTTTAATTAATGGAATTTTAAATAAAATAACCGGACCTGCTGCTAAAACATTAGCAACAAATGGCATCCCCCAGGACTGGAATGGCATAAGAAATGCGCTAATTAACAGCTTTTCGGATCACAGAGACGAGTCCGCCCTATACACCGATTTATCTATGTTAAGTCAAGGTTCCGATACACCGCAAATATTTTACGAGCGAGTTCAAAATTTACTTAGTATAATTATGACTTATGTAGAATTACACGAACAAATTAAAACAACAGTTGAGGCTAAACGTGAACTTTACAAAAAAATTAGCTCTTCAAACATATACCAGAGGCCTAACCGAGCCTTTAGGCTCACGTGTCAGGTGCATGCGCCCCGACTCGCTAGAAAAGACCTTGGATTTCGCCCAGGAAGAATTAAACGTCTTATACTTACAATCGAAAGCCAGTAACCCGCTAATTTCTAAGAAATCGATAAACAATGCCCCGTTTAATTACTCACCTTTTAATTCGCATGACTCACTTATGCCTTCGAAACAATTCAATTCTGGAATGCTTACACATCAATTTAAACCTTTTAAATACCATTTCATGCAACAAGCCACTTTCCGTAATAATTTGTAACGAAAAATATAAGACCTTTCGGATAGTTTTAATAAGCATATTAGTTTATATATAAAGAAATGATCATCCAACAAACTCAAATTTTAAATATCTCTTCAAATCAAAGAAAATTAGAAAAAGCAATAATTTCAATAAGTAATACATCTGTAACTGAAAAAGAACAGATGTATCAATTTACACACATTTCCCAATTATTTAGCATACTTACGGAAAATATTCTGGAACTCTCATCTGAAATAAGTAGATTAGGTAATATTTTAGCTTTTAGTCGCACAAACGTAATGCACCATTCTATACTATATATAAGTGATTTAAAAAATATGTTAACACAGCTTAAAAATCTATATAATCCCAATGCGTTACTAAACTTAGATGTTAGGTTTTATTACGATCTAATTACCTTAGGATCATATTTTATTGATAAGAAAATTGTAATTGTCTTGAAGTTTCCTATAATGTCTCTAGAAACATATGACCTTTATAGACTCTGTCCTGTTCCTAATAAAAACTCAGAAATTATCCTTCCACCATTCCCATACATGGCATCCAATTCCCAGGAATTTGCGTACATGGAGGCTGAATGCCCGAAGATCGACACCTGGTACATATGCAAGCAGCAGCTTAACCATCAAACCCGAACACGCAGTGACTGCGTCTTCAATCTCATTTATCATCAGAATACAGGAGAGTGCCATCCTACATCCATATCACTCCTGAAGGAAGCACTACTAGAATTGGACAGTCAACATTATATTTTATCATTACCTAACAAAATCAAAGTAAAAATATCATGCGGACAAGAAAAATATCATCTGTTAAAAGGAAGCTACTTCGCAACGATTCCCCGAAATTGCAGCATTCACACACCAGAATTCACAATTGTTAATACTGATGACAAATTTCGTGGGCAACCTGTTGAAATAATGACATTCCCACACTCGACTCCGATGTCAGCAAATTCGAAGAAAAACTTACCACATTATAATTTCACAACAATTGATTTGAACAAATTACACAATATTCAACATCAATTACTCATGGACCCACCTGTTAGAATTAACACCGTGGATTTATCCAGCTTATATCACACCACGATACCTACATACGTCATCATACTGTTAAGTGCACTTGCACTCATTAGTGTGGCTTACTACCTGAGACGGCGTAAGATCCAACAGCGAGTTAAATCTACACAGCCTCAAGAGATGGAAATGGCATCAGCGGGTTCTACACCATCCATCGAAGAAAGAAAAGCCGCAACATTTGCTCTCAATCTTCGCAAATAGTTGCTCATCTAGGAGGGAAGGTGTTACGAGTACAAGACTCGTCTACGTCACTCATACGTCACGCGTACATTATGTGTTTCCCAAGTGCAGGTGGCTCGATTGAGCAATCGTGTTGAAAAGTGCTTATTAGACAGATTTAGTTAATGTAAAACCTTCGGACAGTTTTGGGAGTTGCTTGAGCTTCAATCGTGGAAGCATCTTGACGTATAGTTTGTAAGACCGGATCATCGGGATCAATTAGTATAAGTAATTTTGTAAAACATTTAAATAAATAAAGTTATAATTTAAAGTTTAGTTTTTAAAAACCCTACCTGACGGCTCAATTCCGTAATTCATTCATAAACGTTGAAATGTTTCATTAAACAATATTTAGTTTTTAGTGTTTAACTCTTTTTTGTGTCTGGTTATATGTTACTCGAGATTGCCAAGCTACTTAATATTATGGTTTATATTTAGATATTTACTAAAATCTCACAACAAAGATTGTAACTCTAATAATTATGGTTTTTGTAACATATCCGTTTATTTTCAGTTGGCTTATCTTCAAGTTTAAAATTTTTCCAAGCTGCATTTTGTATTTTTAATCACATTTCTTTATTTAATTTGCATGTTGAATGCAAACACTAATCTCGCCACGGTGTTAGTGTGTATTTTGACGTTTTTGTTATCTTTTGTGTGTTGAAATTAATTGTTATCATTAACCGGCCGTATTCAATGTCCTGCCTCCACAAGCTTATGATAATTCAATGACTAAGCATTGTTATTTTAGTTTATAACGTAGTAAACGTATAATTTTTATCTTAAAGGCAATGAACTTAATTTTTCATTGAATATATTTAATTGAAAACGGCCGTTTTCATTTATATTTGCCAAATGTTTTGCATTTTAATTTATTGTATTTTAAGTAGGTTTCACTGTGTTCAGAGTAAGTCCTCACTTTCATTGCATAAAGATATTGTCAGCAATCTTAATAATAGTAACTCAAAGGGCTTCCAAACAATTGAAATACATCGGCATCTCTGCTAATGCTGCAATAAATGCCAAATTTTTATTTTCTAAGCTAAGATTTATTCTTATATCAGCTAAATCATCGAATAATCATACATTTCTCGTGGCTTTTGTCGTTTCACTTAAATTTTATTCTGTTGTCATTGCGAAATACTTCAATTGTGTTGTTTCTTCCTGTAGGTGGGTGTGTCACCACATGCTGACTTCAAAATCTGCGTTTTTCTTGTTATCTTTACTGTCGTCAGACGGTACTCGTGATTGAACGGCAGTTTTATCTTAATGGCCATTAAGGCTACTTAAAATAGAATCAGTATTAATAGCAAGATAATTTGAAAAATCGTTAGCCATAAATAACTTTTTTTTCTAATCAGTTGGAATGAGGCTTTGGAAGTGTAGTCCAACTGCGATATTGCAACTTGATGCAATTTTAACAGTTCACAAAATTATGTCGAAACTGCTGTCTGTAGTTTTTGTTGTTGTTGGGAAAACATGCTGACTTCAAGCGAACTTAGAACTTAGCAGCTTTTATCATGTAAACAGAAAAATTGTCTTATCCAAAAACTCTCGTCAACTTAGCAACTCAGTTGCGGGTTATTTTATCAAAGTAATTATTATACATATACCTTTGTGTCTTCTGTTGAGCATCACTAAATCCAACAATGAAACATGTATAAATTATGTATTTTAATATTCCGTTATTAATACTCATCCAACTGTTATTATAATAATGATAAATACTTAATGTGTTCTCTGTTAAATTGTAACTTATATTTTTATCTGTGATATATTATGTAGTGTAAATAAATTACATTTATGAATTAATGTGAATAAAATAATTGTTAGAAAATAAATTGATGTTAATTACTTAACTCTGGATCTGTTATTTGATTTTATTTGTTTTTTTTACGGAAATGGCGTAACCGACAATATACCTTTATAGTTTCACCACGTTCATTCGTCTGTCTGGCCACAGTTTAGGACAGAGGCTACTTTTTTTTTCAAACATTGGCGTAAAGCACTATTTGGTTTTTGTCAAAGTTGCGTCCTGTTCGCCATTAATAAATTATACATAACATATTTTGCAACAAATAAGATGATGATACAAATTTTTCTGCCATAGAATAATTAATAAGGCAACTGAATCTTTTTTTATCTCAAGCTCATTTGTGCTTCATAAGGCATGATAAATGCCTCCCCAGAGGACGCGATTTACACGAGTTTATTCGATTTAATCGATTTGTTCTCATTCATTCTTAAATGACCGCACAATGATGTACAAAACGCGTGTGAATTAAATAAAATAAATATTTCCGACACTCACACCAATTAGCCTAGCCCCAAAGTAAGCACTATAAGGCTTGTGTTATGGGATGCTAGGGTAACGGATAGAATACATATACTTACATATATAAGTATATTTATATAAATACATATTAAACATCCATGACTGGAGTACAAATGCTCGTATTCATCACACAAACATCTGCCCCCACCGGGATTCGAACCCGGGACCTCTCGAGTCGGCGACAGCCATGAAACCCGGCGTACAAACCACTCGGCCACGGAGGTTGTCGAATTGCGCATCTGGGAAGGAATTTAGCATACTTGTAAAGCAGAAAGGAGCCGAGATAAAAAAAGATTCAGTGCCTTAAGGAGGCATTAAGCCTTTGGTATCCGGCTGCATGGTGATATAAAAACGTCAAATGAAAATACAAAACAATTGCCAACAAATTTATTCATACAAAACACAAAACCGATTAACCTAATTTATTGTACACCAATCAGGAGCGTGTAACAATAATTCTTGAACAACAGAGGAATTTCATCATCGGTGATAAAGTTTCTATCAGGTCTAACGCTCGCAAAACTGTTGATTCTTGGCTCGATGATAACTTTAAATTTCTGTTCAGCATATTCCTGTATTCTGGCTAAGTCTTTATTCAATTCGTTGACAGTATGAGCTGTTATGAGGAAAGGTACTCTCTGTTTAAGGATGCAGTTTATGGTTTTAGGCCAGGGGTCCGGTTTGACGTTATACGTGGAACTTCGATCGATATTAGCGTTGAAGGCGCAGACTGTGAAAGAAATAGAAATGATACTGAAACATACCAGCTATACAAACTAAAGAATTGAGGCCATGAGAACCATAGTGGCCTAACTAATTTTTTACAATATTGAGTTTATGATTTTTTCCAGTTCAAATTGATCATTTTGATAGAACCAGAGTGGTCTAAAAGTGATACAACGAATATTCACTAGATGGCAGCATAATTACTGTTACGGTTTTTAGTCTGTGTTAAAAATTTTAGGTGCCATACTGGCCCAAGTAAAATAGGCCACTATGGTTCTCATGGCCTCAATTGATACTGTCTAAAATTTAGAAGATTTTGCTTTCCCGTGCCGCTTGTCATTGGAGCAAGCTTCAACTTACAAAATACCTTAGTGGAATAAAATTTTTGGTGGTGTTGTGATTCTGTCGGTAAGTAAGGTTTCAGAACTTGACGGGGTATTAGGGCATTGGGCTAAGGGTGGCAAGATGAGACTGGCACAGCGATACATTTATCTGTCAGTTCAGCTATCTTCGAATTTATTTATTTATACTTTATTGCAAAACAAACAGCAAATGGCGGACATAATGCCATAAGGCATTCTCTACCAGTCGACCAGTAAAAGCGTGAGAAATAAAAATACGGGGGTGCAATAAGGACATATGCTAAATAAACCAGGTAGGTAATATATATATATATCAATAGAATACACAAATAATAAAATATGTATACAATACATACATCTAAATATATATGCTATATCTACAATACATACATAAACATACACATAAGTAATTATGCCAGTCAAATATGAGAACGCAGATTAATTATATTAAGATAATGCTCACGAACCAATCCCTTAAACACAAAGGAGATTGCTCAGATTGGCCCAAATGCACCAAAAATATTGACATACACGGTAATTCTTGGTGTAATTTATAATTTAATTTACAGTCATTAGATTTCAACGGACACCTTTGTATAATATATTCACTTTAAAAAGGACTTTTCATTTTACCGGTTTGGAAAACATACGAATCATTTTTAAATGGCTATGGGTGTAGTAACATTCAGCCAAAGTCTGATCGAAGTTGTTTATATAACATAAAAACAAATGTATTTTGTAAAGATCGATAAAATAAATCATTTTTTTATTACACTGTGATATTAATATCCACAACTATATTATCATTTTCACTACATGCAAATATGCTCAGACAATTATTATTATAGATGGTAAGCGACATCATAAAGTCTATTGCCATACATTTTTCGCCAAACACCTCCATAAACACATTATAATCTGTTTAGACTTTAAGGTATCTATCTATGGGCCTACGTTCCCTGACTATAAATTAATAAATAAATAAAATTATAAGGTGTGATACACTAAAAATCTAAAATATGGTTATATTAAAAACATAAAAAAAATAATAAAGCTGCTGAATATATGGCTATAACCTATATCTCTTAGCTTTCTTTGGTTAACGAGAGTTTAAAAATTCTCTCTAATCTGTGGCTCATTCACAATCATCACACAGTTTCTGTCACAGAGTACCTATAACCGGAAATGCATAGATGACACCTGATTTTAAAAGTTACATTTAATGCATTAACTTTAAAAACAGGCAACTATCTGTTAATCTACATGCTCCATATACCTGAATCTAATCCATAATTTCGGTACTTGGCTTGATTTCCCTAGTTTACTATATAACTTATTTGTTTTTTATTATTTTAATATGTTCAGTGTATATGGTTTATAGAAGTTCTCAGGGGTGTACATCAATAATATTCGTTTCTACAGTAATTTATATATAATTTCGAATCTAGGAAACAATTTTTCATGATTATTGGTCTTTAGGCCAAACATGTATGGAAGCTGAGCAATCTCCTTTGTTAGGAGCTTTACGTATATTAGGGGGCAAGTCAATTTGGAGTCCACTTACACTTATCATCAGGTGCAGTGGAGTAATCTTAGTTTCAAAGCCAAATATCTGTACCAAATTGGAGCAGTAAATATCACCACTAAACTGCAAACAGTTTTTTAATAGCAAGGTGGGCAAATGACTCTAACCCACCTTATGTTAAGTGGTGATAGAGTCCAAACGCAAACAAAGATAGCTGGTACAGCAGTTATAAAGTACCACACCAACCAACATTTCATTCGAACCACCATTCAAAGCTTTTAGCAGTTTTAATTATGACAATATTATGTTTATTTTCGGTGACCAGATGTACAGTCACTATGAGTTGAAGTTATCCATCTGACTACACTTTTTTTTTAAATCTATTGAAAATGTTTAGTTGACACTATGTATTAGTCGTTGATATTTAACATGTCTGTAAATATGATGTTACCAGTTCTCACCTACCTATATTCGGCATAACAAAGTCTTCGCCAGCCCAGTACTCGTAGTAAGACTGTTTGTCGTGAAAGCTGAACACAAGTCTTCGCTTGTGCACACGACAGGTCTCACATAGCCTGGCATCAAATGAGAATATGTTTATTAACTTTTACCTCATCCAAAGAGACAAAAGGAGATGATTCAAATGAGGTAGTCCGTTTCCGGCAGGTACGAAACATACATGAACAGACACATTTAATTTTTAATTTGTCTCCGATGAATATATAATTATGTTTAAATATTAAAGAATTTTGTAAAGAAGCTGGCGAGCCTGTCATAAGTAACGTCATATTTTTAGTTTAGATTTCTTCAGTGATGGCTCCCTCAGGATTTAGCCAATGTAGGGCTTATAACGTCAACTTAATCACTATGGCAAATGTCAATCAGTCCAGTCATTCTTGATAGAAGCATAGAACAGAATAGAATAGAATTAATTTATTCATAAACAAAGGTACAATAGTGATGTTAGAATAAAAGTTGATATATCGTGAAATCTTGGTGAAATTAACATACCAATTAATAATTCATTCTTCTTGAAATCTAATACCGACAAAGTGCCTACTAATGTAATGAAAGATGAACAGAATGATTAACATTGCTTTAGTTACCTTTTGAATAGAATATAATTTGATGCTTGGGAAACAAAAAATAAGGAAAAAAACTTGCCATTTGCATATCAATAATTAAATCATTTTATATTATAAAAAATATTAAAAAGATAACTGGGATAACATAAATTCTAGTTTCTTTGGCAAATGCTTTACAATTGAGTGCACTACATCTCATAAAAATTTGGAGTCTGCCGAAGACTGACTACCACCCTCCAGACAAATTTGGAGTCTGCTGGAGTCTGACTACCACCCTCCACACAAATTTGGAGTCTGACTACCACCCTCCAGACAAATTTGGAGTCTGCTGGAGACTGACTACCACCCTCCAGACAAATTTGGAGTCTGCTGGAGACTGACTACCACCCTCCAGACAAATTTGGAGTCTGCTGGAGACTGACTACCACCCTCCAGACAAATTTGGAGTCTGCTGGAGGCTGACTACCACCCTCCAGACAAATTTGGAGTCTGCTGGAGACTGACTACCACCCTCCAGACAAATTTGGAGTCTGCTGGAGACTGACTACCACCCTCCAGACAAATTTGAACCGTCTCCTTTAAAAATATAACATAACTATTCGTGTTTGCTATTTGGGAATTCTATTGATGACATCTCTAAACGCTAAAGAATGCTTACAATAAAGATTTCGCCATCGTTCTTTCATCATTATAAGCCTATGAATGTACTTACTGCTGAGGCAGACGCCTTCCCAATGGATAGAAGAAGGGATTGGGTCAGAACCAATGGTCTAACATACCTTCTGACGCATGAGATCATATTTATTATCTCGTGCGTCACCGTCATTATGATCACCCCTGTTGTAACCGGCTGTTCATGATTTGACTGCTGCTATTTTCGCAATCATACGACCTAACTGCAGTCGCATGGATATGAAATCAGCTGCGAGGGAAAACCCTCGCCACAAGTGTGTTTGCGTCAATTTCATTCTTTAAAAAATCATAAAATTATTGAAACTCCACAGCGCTATCATCGGCTATTGCGAGGTTGCTAAAGTTCCATTTGGGTCACGGCCCATACTCCCTATGCTATCCATAGGGGATGCCTGTGCCCCAACAGTGAAGACATTATTAGGCGGATGATGATGATGATAAGCCATACACTAATTGGATTGGATTTCCTCACTTGATCTTGCTGAGTAGTTCCAGCGGCAGGTCGCCAGGGTTGAGGTTAGTGGAGACCATCACTACTCGCAGCTCATCCACTGGCACCAAGTGAAGGAAGAATATCTCCCATTTGTTTAAGGAGTCAGCTTCAAACTGAAGCTCAGCGTCCACCACGTGGATGGTGCACGTCGACTTCTGCAGTATGACATTCATAAATAATCTTCAAGAACTTTTAATTAACTAAATCACAAAATACAAATACAATGTAATGGTTGTCATACCATAACTCGTCATCTTTCTCTTTTATATTGCCATCGCAAAAGTACAATATTTCTTAAAGATTGGGGGAAAATGTCCAGGTCTTAGATAAATAAATTGATCTTCCTGTGGTCTACGAAGGGAGACCAAATTATCTATGGTCCAGGTGCTATTTTATTGGAGAAAGCAGACTGCAATCATTGTCGAAGATGACGACGGCACGCAATTTTTTTTTTCCCAAGTACCATAAGCCTGACTCTGCAGTGTTCCATACCTTGTGAAGTCCATTGGTGAGTTGATATGTTCTGGTGGCGATTTGATAGCAGTACGCTGCGGTGAGTGGAGCTGTAGCCATCTGTGTCAATGCTGCGTACTGGATGTCACTCATATCTGAAAAATTACAAGTACATTTTTATTTTTAAAAGGGAGGCAAAGATGCAATGGCTCGCTTGATAGTAAGCCAATATAGACTATAGACCATTGCGATACCAGAAATATCACCTGCGCAATTGCCCACCCTGACCCAATGCTCTACCCCGAGCATTGGAACTTTTTACTTTTACTCGCCGACAGAAACAACATCACCAAAAGGTAGTGTTATTTAACTGTGGCCTTCTATAAGATGGAGGTTTCTTCCCCAGATATGCGATCCAAAGCGAGCTGAATATCCTCAATGCCCTACCTCTCTTAGGCCCGTCTTACAGAATGAAAACTAAGTGTTGATCTTTACTTGAGTACAGTTAGAAAAGGTTATCGCTATGTGCTTTATATAGCGACATCCCTTTCTAACTATGCTCAAGACTAGAACAATCACTGAGAATCTTTATTTATTACGGGCCTTAGACATTTACTACCCTTATTATTTAACGAAAATACTCGTAATTACAAAGTTTCTCCAAACTATTGTCGACTAACTTTATGAATATAATTAAAGCCATCGGGTAAAACCTTTTTGGCTTATTGTTGCAGTGTACATATTTGGCTGAGTTAATCAGCTTGAATTGTAACATAATTTTACACTTCTGGGGATTTCGAGTAAGAGACATTAAATATGTATTGGTATGGCAAAGAGGATTTTCCGTAATATACTCCTGGACACATTAATAGGCCCATCTAGCAGTTTTTTAGTTTTGGCCTATATTACTTTGATGGTCCCTAGTTAAAAATAAATGTTATATTCAGAAAAAGTTTTTGCAGTTTTTAAGCTGATATATACTTTAACCATCTTTAGCGAGTGTTTAAAAAAATATATTGTTATTGGTCAGCCTAACTTTATTATACTTTTTATGCTACAGACCGTTGAAACTTCAGCCCTTATCCACCCAGACCTAATCAAATAAAATCGAAATTTCTTTATTCAAATGGAAGCTTATTGCAGCTCCTTTCGGCAAAAATTTAATTTTCTGAATATTATTACATGAACAGCTCTATCTTTTCAATAATAATAAAGCTTACGGTCAAGTTAAAGAACATTCTGATTATGGTAATGTTTATATTTCCTCTTTTCACATAATCTTATTAAGTATAAATATTCTTTTCTCACCAATTTTCTCTTCATACATCGACGCTAGAACTTCGTTGATCTTCTCCGGCATCTGGAAGTCCATGAGGACCTTGCTGGGCAGCTTCGGCTCCAGCCTGCCCTTGGTCTGCTGGTGGCTCACCAGTTTCTGGTACAAGCTGTAGGACTTGCACCAGCGCTGGTGGGACTTGGGCAAGTGATCGGGTTGAGCGGAACAGTAGGATATCTTAACAATAAAAGTATTTTATAAGAATTGTATTCACCTGGATACCCAAAGGACAAGCTTTGATTACTTAGTTATTTATTATTCTTGTTACAAAATTGAGCTTTTATATGTAGGCTCTTTATTTATCGGATACAATTAAAATATGTTTTTTGCTTTAGCAAAAGACAGGTAGGTACAATATAAATAATATTTTAATTTAAATTGAAAGTATATATGAACTCTAAGAAAAGAAGAAGAAATGAAATCGTAATGACTACATAATTGAGTAATATCGTGATTCCCAGGTCACCTGACTACAGCCATCACAGTCCACCAGCTTGCTCTGCCGCCACTCTCGGCAGCTGACTTCTGCACAGATCCTGGGATACAGCAGCGCTTCCTGCTCCCAGGGTAGCAGACGTCTCTTCAGCACCTTCTCGCAAGAAACGATCATCTGCATCCTGAGAAGACGATAATTCTGGCCAGTGACGTTCTTGGCGTCAGCGTAGATGTGCTTCTGGTCTGAGGAAATAAAAGAAAATGCAATTTATATAAAAAAGGCTAACCATGGTTTGTACTCTCTGAAGTCCACATTTGGTTTTCCATTTTGAGCTAATTTAAAGTAACAAAGCAACAATTTTACTATTCATTTCCGAGTACTAGTGAGCTCGGAAATAATATTATTGAAAACATACCTTAGAAACGTTGTTTTAATTTTTGTATATTCATTTTATAAAGCGAGAACATAATATTAGGCAAACTATCAAGTTCGAAGAGCACGATGACGATAATGAGTAATTAGTCGTGGATATTCAGTAACTTTGCTTAGTAAAAAGTGACCTATATTTTAGTCTTGTGACCAATAAGTAACACTATACCTAACTCAGTGTTAAAAAAAATGTACAACATACCTTTCAAATGGCCAATTGTTGAAACAGCGAAGCACAACGCTTGATGTTGTGGCCAATCCTCATCTTTATGTTTCCCGCTGCAATAGAAAACCAAACTGCAGTAGCTGCAAGCTACTCTAGATTGCTTCAAGTCCTTCTTACAAACGTGGCATGTACTTTGTAGGAACACCTTCCTGAAATTGTACTTGTAGACAAAATCTTCATTATCATCAGCCAAAGAAATAGATTCATCGATCGATTTATTTTTCATGAACTTCCTTATATTGTCAGTCTGCGATTGTTTTGATTCTCTCTTTGCTTCTACTGCAATGGAGTCTTTTATCTTCACCTTAGCTAATGTTTCATTTGGTGATTTATTCTTCTCTTTTTTGTAGTCAATTTTACTCGATCGTACAGGTATGTCGGGGTGGCCTAACAAGTTTTTTGGCTGTGAAACAGGTTTAATCTTTTCATCTTTTACCTCCTGCTTTTCATCTTCTACAGGCGCCGTGATGTTTATTTCGGGATTTACATGTGAAGCTTCCAATTGGTTGGCATCATTTGCGATCATTTCAAACGATTTGTTTATATCATCAGCACTAGAAGTCATAGCATCTTCAAAGTTTTCTATCGGATCAAATTCAGTTATGTCTTGATCCAATTCTTGTTCACATCGAGATATGTTATTGTCGCCGGTTGATAGCTGCGACTGTTGTTTCCCTTGTTTTCCAGAATTATCTGTCTTTTTTTCAGGTTTTTGTTCTGTTTTTGCAGTTTTCTCATGTTCTGAAGACGATCTTGCAATAGAAGTAGTTAAAGTTTCGCTTTGAACAGAAGAAGACCCAACAGAATCTTGCTTTCCTTTCTTTTTCGATTTTCCTTTATTCTTGTGCTCTTTCTTAGCTATACTTTCAGGAGGTGGTACTGATTCTTCCACTTTTTCTAATAACTTAGGGGAATCAACTGATTTAGTGACAGCCAGTGCAATGCCTTCTGTTATATTTTTAACTTCGTCACCTTTTTCTTCACTATGAACTGTTGCTGTTATAAAAGATTCTTCAATTATTGGTGTCTTGTTTGCACTAGATGTTGATTCCTGGCTTTCAATGATTTCTTGCGATGACACTTTTTCTTTTTCGGATTTCGTTTTGGCAATCATTTCACTGGGCATTTCTTGTTTAACATTTGTTGGTAGCGCTTTTTCTGTAAAAATCAACTTTTTATTCGCAAATTCCTTTTCAACTTCATCTTCATTTTTCTCTAATGTTGTAAACTCAGCTAAAGATTTTTCTATTGACAGCCTTAATTCTTCCATGTCTTGATTAACTTCCATCATTTTAGATTTTAAATCAGTTTTTTCTGCATCAGTGGATTGATCCATTTTATTTTTTTTATCTATATTTTTATTTGTAGCAACTGTAATTTCAGGTGTTTCGATAGGAGTTTCTCCTGAACCACATATTAATGGTGTATCAGGAATAACAACAGGAATTCGTAATTTTGTCTCCTCAACAAAAGCAATCTCTAGAATAGACATGTTATTATTATCATCAGTAAAATCTTGACTTGTTGCTCTAGGATAATGAATATCAGGTGTTAGACCACAAATATCTGATCCTTCTGACTCATCCGCTCTAAGACTTCTTATTTCAATATCTTCTAGAGAAGTGGGTTTTTTTTCCGTCCTGTTAATATTAGGAATCTCTTTCTCTTCTTTGGTGTGTTTTTCTTTATTCGATTCTTCACCAGGAACTTGCTCCTTGGTATCAATATCCTTTTCCACTGGGAATTTGGGAAACTTTTTTGTTTTCTTTTTTGATTTCTCTGCCTTTTTTACATCCTCTTCGGAAGGTTCTGTTTTTAAAACAGCTTCTTTATCTTCAACACTTTTTTTCTCTTTAGGGATTTCTTCCATTTCAGAAATAACTATACCCATGAGCGTTTCAACATTTTGATTTGATTCAGAACCTTGTGTTGGATTAGAGTCTGTTACCTGGTGTACTTTCGGCTTTGGCGAGTTTTTCCTCTTTTTCCCCATTTGAAAGTCAGGCGTAATCACTGTACTTATGTCCGTGAGATGTTTGTCTGTTGAAACTTTAAGCGCCTCCTGAGATTGTATTTGACAGTCTTGTACTTCTATTTTAATTTGTTTTTCGTGTTCTTGGATTTGAGTTGATGTTTCTCGTAATTTTTCTTCCACCATAACAGTGTCGCAATCTTTGACAGTGGTATCAGAGTCTGTTACCTGGTGTACTTTCGGCTTTGGCGAGTTTTTCCTCTTTTTCCCCATTTGAAAGTCAGGCGTAATCACTGTACTTATGTCCGTGGGATGTTTGTCTGTTGAAACTTTAAGCGCCTCCTGAGATTGCATTTGACAGTCTTGTACTTCTATTTTAATTTGTTTTTGGTGTTCTTGGATTTGAGCTGATGTTTCTCGTAATTTTTCTTCCACCATAACAGTGTCGCAATCTTTGACAGTGGTATCGGGGAGTATATTCTTGGTTTTATTACTTTCCTTTCCTTTTCGTTTTCTCTCCACAGGTCTTGCAATTTTGGGTTTAGCTTCACAAGAGGCTTCCGTGTGAATAATGGTTTCAAAAATATCGGTTTGAGGTAAATTTTCTGTAATCATAATATCTTTTTTGATATCTAATGTATCAAGTTGAAGAGGAGTTGGCTCTAAATTAATTTCAGTTGTTGCTTTCACTTCCATGTCAGAAACTTCATCAACCAGCTTTTCTTCCTTTTGTATATTCTTTTTGTCTTTCTTATTTTTCTTTTTTCCTTGACTACATTCAGATAGAGGTTGCTTTGATAAATCATTAACTTCTTCTAGTTTTGAATCTTCAACTCCAAAATCTTTCTTTTTATTTTTCATATCTTTTTTACTACATATATTTTTTTCGGAATCTCTTTGTCTTTGAGTAATAGAAACAATGTCTTCTATTTTGTCTTCTTTTGTAACATCGCTTTTTTCATCTTTTAGTAGTTTCTGAAATGCGGCAATACAACTAAGCTCCTCTGCTTTTTCAGATTTTTCTGAGTCCGTACGGTGTTTTTTCTTTTTGTTTTTCTTCTTTGAAGATTTTCCTTCTTGTTCAGATGGATTTTCAATAGTAGATATTGTCATTTGTTCTTTGACCTCAACTATTTCGGTAATTTTTGCTTCTTCTCGCAAAGCCGTATCTTTTTCCTCAGTTTTCTCAGACACATCCGGTGTAGGTTCAGTGGACTTTTTGGCTTTATTTTTCTTTTTAGGGACACTTGGTGCTACATATGTATCCAAAAGTACTTCTGGTAAAACATCACTTTCCGCGTTGATGATTTGGGTATCGACATGAGTATCTGAGTCCTGATTTTTCTTCTTACCCCTGTTCCGCTTCGGTTTTTTTGGTATTTCGTCATTTTTTCCTTCACCGTCTAGCACTGTTTGTTGTAAAACATCACTGATTATTTCGGGCACACGTTCTTCGATTTTTGGAGCACTTGCAACAGTTTCCGTTATTTGTTTCACTTCTTCCTCCTTCTTGGCTGGCACAACTTCCTCGACTTTTTGAGGGGGGTTGGGGTTAGGGGTTTTATTTGGTCGATTTTTATTTTTATTTCTCTTCGTATTCATTTTGACACGCGCACCTAGTTTTCATGTGTTGCGATTTCGGACTGAAACGTCCGGCCAATTCTTATTTCGGTGCCCGTCTGACCGAACCTCGTAAGTTTTATTCTTGTCCCCCGTATGCAATATTTGAAATGTCAGTTGGGTTTGAGGTGAAAGAAACTCAGTCTTATGCTCTCGGAGAGCAGAGTTTATTTTTAACTGGAGCATTGAGAAGTGATGGTTGTTTTGTGCATGCAGTAAGCATGAGGAAGTGACCGTTGCCAAATGTGTACCGACGCACCACATAGAAACAGTTATATATTTAGTATGATCGAACAATGGCGTGTCGGTAATATATTGATAAAGTCATAACAATCAATCTGCGTGTAGTTTATTGGTTTCAATTATGTACAATATTAATTGTATAATGATAATATAAGTATTCGCCTATTATAGACACATGTGTCGTTTATGCTGTCTGTATATTGTTGACGAGTTCCACATTATTTTCTTGATACAACTATTTTAATATTAAATTACTTTTGAGAACGGAGCCTATAAAGGATCTGAAGAGTAGAGTATAAAATAAAAGCGCTAAATATCGCATCGTAAATAACTTGAAACAGTGTTTTATTTAATGATTGGAGTGCGTGAAAAAATATAAAAAAAAATACAATTGTTCTATACAAAATATGAAATAATAAATAAATATTTCCAACACACACACCAATTAGCCTAGCCCCAAAGTAAGCACTGTAAGGCTTGTGTTATGGGATACTAGGGTAACGGATAGAATACATAAACTGTTCATATATAAGTATATTTTTATAGAAATACATATTAAACATCCATGACTGGAGTACAAATGCTCGTATTGTGTGATGACACAAACATCTGCCCCCATCGGGATTTGAACCCGGGTGTCGGGACCTCTCGAGTCGGCGACACCATGAAACCCAGCGTACAAACCACTCGGCCACAGAGGTCGTCAAATAAATATATTTCTTATACTTACACCTTAGATCACAGCCTAGCTACAAAATAAGGACTGTAAGGCTTATCACTATAGGCTAAAAGATGATCTATCTATAAACACATATATAATGAAATGGTAGAAAAGCCAAAACTATGCATTGAATATTTTTTTAAGAGAATACTTGGGGTGTGATCTACAATCGATATCGAAGCCAAAAATATGGTTTTTAGAATTTTTGTCTGTTTGTCTATTTGTCTGTATGTATATGCGGAATAAACTCAAAAAGTACTGCATGGATTTACTTCAAATTTGGCAAGATTATTATTGAGAAGTCGGGTCAACATATAGGCTACATATTATCACGCTATCACCTACGGGGAACGAGCAGTGAACCTTTATTTCTTCAACGCATTCTGTCACAACGTGTAATCTGATGACGCATATTTGAATGTTGTTATTATGTTAACCATGTTATAAGCTAGCTTCCCGCTATAAGTAACTTAAGTCGATAAACATAATTGTCAATTTTAAAGCAGCGATATATATGAGATTTTAAAAACATCAAGTCGAATTACATGTGTGTCAGTTTTTGGATATAAATAATTTAATTTGATCATGTGGGCGAAGTCTATAGTTGTTTTTAAAAATCATAGATGGAGTCGTGCATTTGCTTCTTAAATTTTTTATCTTTAATTCGTTTCAGAGAATGTGTTCGGTATTTACTGGTGTAATTATTGCTTCTTAATTATTAGAGAGACAAGTTTATTTTTGTAGGAATACATAATTAAAGGCACATTTTTAAAAGATCATCAAAAATTAGTAATTGAACATTTAAAAAAACATAATTAATCCCCAAAAAGTACAATTGGTAACCTAACCTTTAGATTACCATAGATCAGTTTTAAGATAATTATATGTAAGTTTTTAGACATTCATTACTTTTAAGCTTTTGTAATCTAAATATTTCTATGTAAAATATATGTAATTTATTTAATTTACAGATTAAAATAAATGTTTACGTTTAGATATTAAACTAAAACTAGACAAAAATTAAAACTATGTTAGGATACAAAAAAAAGCTGCCCTTAGTCTTCCCCGTCGGCAAAGGTTCCCAGGATGCTAGCGGCATTTCCACGCTGAATGGCGAGGCTATATAAATAACCAATTAAAATGCTACCTACCATTTGCAACAGTTATTTTATGTTTTTATTTATTTTTAAGCATTTGACTGCTAGATGTTTAAATCTAAAGAAAAGTTTGACTAGTAAAAAATTCACGCGGACCAGGCAGCGGGCGGGACTCGAACCCGCACCCTTCGCAATCCGGGCGAATGCACTGACCAATTATGCTACCACGGCCCTGATGGCCGCGTCGAAATTTTCCTAGCCTTAAGCTGCAAGGCAGCGCCATCTCTGCGCATCGTAGGTTACCCACAATGTCGAATGAATACTTTTACAAGTATTAAACATTTGAAAGAAGAAATGGCAATTATAGTTATGTTTTTATTTATTTTTAAGCATTTGACTGCTAGATGTTTAAATGTAAAGAAAAGTTTTACTAGAAAAAAATCCACGCGGACCAGGCAGCGGACGGTACACGAACCCGAACCCATCGCAATCCGTTATTTTAAGTACAAGTAAACAGTAAAGATTACCAATTGTATTTCAGGTGATCCTATGTTATTTTTTTGAAGGCCAATTTATATTTCCCATAGTAAAACCACCATGTTTCTAGTTAAGTAGTGCTCGTATTTATTCATACAGACATTTGTCCCTACCGGTATTCAAACCCAGATTTTAAGACTAGGCCACATTTTCAAAACCAATGTACAACTATACGCACCGCTCCACCACTGAGGCTGTCAATTCATGTTATCTTTTAAATAGGTAGTAATTTACAATATCAAGACTTCTATTTCTACCAAGTGGACCTGAGCATTCATAAACTCCTTTAAAAGAGGCGTGAAGAAGCAACATGCAGGCCGGCAAAGTGAGTTTGGCTGGTGTGGCAGGTAGAACTGCTGTACCAGCTATCTTCACGTCTGGACTTCACCGTCACTTTAAAACAGGTGGGGCGAAGTCATTTGTAGGATTTATCTATAAAAAAGAGCTCGGCATCTTTATGGCATGCGCAAACGAAGGAGTTTTGTCCTTCGCGGTCAAGTCCCTGAATCGTAAATAAAATGTTAACCGAAGACACCGTGCACCGTGTGCAAACATTGTCCATTTATAAAATCGCACGCTATGAAAGATATTCTCAGATAACATTGTGTTGTGTTTAACTGGTAGTATACTCGGCCTCATAACAAAACTCAGAGTCGCGCAGCGTGCTATGGAGAGGGCTATGCTCGGTGTTTCCCTACGTGATAAGATCCGAAATACGGAGATTCGTAGAAGGACCGGTGTGTACGACATAGCCCGAAGAGATAGCACGCTGAAGTGGCAATGGGCAGGCCACATCGCTCGAGGATCTGACAACCGTTGGGTAAGAAAGGTCCTCGAGTGGCGACCGCGTACCGGACGACGCAGCGTGGGGCGGCCCCCAACAAGATGGACTGACGACATCGTCAAATGTGCTGGGAGCCGCTGGATGCGGATAGCGCAGGACCGCGCATTGTGGCGTTCTATGGGGGAGGCCTATGTCCAGCAGTGGACGGAAAAAGGCTGATGGATGAATGGATGATACTAGGGCAGGTTTCTTTAAATCCGATCGAGATTGCAACACTGACTATAGTTCGCTGTGTATGTTGCTGCACCTAGACACATGAGTTCTATTTCTATAGAACGCTTACCCAATTAAAGCGGGCAAAAGAAAGCGCGGACGAAATTCTCTCGTCTGCACAGGCTATTATGGCTGTTAAAAAATAAAGACAAATTACGAAAAAGGGACAATTGCTGGCCGTCGGGTAAAGAAACCTTTAAAATACAGCTTTCCAGGGCTATCAGATAACAAAACTTTGGACAGCCAAATACACAAAATGTAATCTAAAAATAAATTCAAAAAACGGCGTAGTGCGAATCGAACTCTCGCACGAAGGGTTTCGTACCATTAGCTATGCAACATTAGACACTACAATAATATCGAGTCCTAGCGCTATAAGACTTTTTAAGGAAATAGCAAAAAGGTTAGTCGACATCACAAGAGACCGAAGAGCTGGCAGCTACCTTGGACAAATAATTAGTTTAGCTATTAAAAGGGGGAACAGGAAGGAGGAGGAAGATAGATAGATAGATAGATAATGCGTTTATTTTTTTTCTTCAACATACATATACATTTACAGACAGAGTAATACAATAAAAAAAATGGGTGCGTGTACTTATGTAGGCGCATGAGAAGTTATCCTTCTTTGGCATCGTTTAAAATTAGTTTTTAATTGCATGCAAATAATTAATTACAATAAATTAATAAAAAGTCTGGAAAAGGACACAGTCAATAAAGTTCAGTTTTAATTTGAAAAAATAAATAAATAATCAAAATATTCAATTAAAATCGCTACTGAATATAATTTTTAGAACGTATGTGTTTTTGTCGCTAAAGCGACCAACTTCATGCTGTTAAAATTTTGTGTTACAGTGATGCGCGCACATCTTAAAATTTCACTCTCATCATTTTTTCATAACGCGCCTAAAGAAGTATAACTTCAAAAAGGTACAAGAAATCAGCTATGAAATATCCATATGTATGCTGCAGAAAGCAAAAGGCCAAGGCTCGGCTAAACATATTTTGCCAGTTTTAAGGCAAAATACCGATTTTCAGCCATCACCTTTATGAGTGAGTAGACTAGCTTTATTAATAATAAACATTTAAAAGATTTTGCAAGGAGGAAAGAGAAAACAGCCATGACAATGCAGTGGAGACAAACACATATTTACTACAATATAGAGACAAATAATGAAGTGATTGTTGGCGAGATAAAATTAGATGATATCATACATATATATAATAACTATAATTACACATGATTTATTTAAAGTACATACAAAAGTAGTATCCGGAAACTGTTTGGAAAACAATGCTACCTGCCCTGCCACACATAAAACTTGGGGATGTCTAATTTTTGGATTTCTAAAAGATACTGGCAGATCTTCGGAACCTTGCCTAAAGGGACTCCTTTTAATAAGATATTTTAGTAATTATATTATTCTAGCTGTGCCCCGCGGTGTGACCCGCGGTTTATTAGGGATATTTTCCCGCATTAAAACGTAGCCTATGTGTTAATCCAGGGTGACCGCTAACTCCATGCCAAATTTTATTAAAATCGCTGCAGCCGTTTAGACGTGAAGAAGAAACAAACATACACACTCACAAACTTTCGCCATTATCATATTAGTGTGATTTTTTAAGGTTTTTGAAGTTATACTTCTTTAGGCGCGTTATG